GAGGGCAGAACAGCAGGGCAGCCACTGCATAGAACCCATCAGCCTCACCAGGGGAGAAAGCTCATCCTCTCCCACTTGGACAAGACACTTCACCTCACTGAGTCTGTTCCCTGCTTGTGCCTTATCTCAGAGGGTTTTGATGGCAGTAGATGAGATGTGAAGCCCTTAGCATTAAGCACACAGGCTGTGCTGGGTGCCTGATGGCTGTCCTTGTGAGTTCAGTGATGGCTTTGTGGGAAGAAAGAGCCATCCATGTGCAAGAATGTCCTTGGACATGGGAAACCCCAGCCTCTGACTGCTGCGATGTCCCTGGCTTTGGGTTAGGTTGGGGCCAGGTGCTAACCCCACATGACTACCTTTCAGTGGAGAACAAGTGACCTCGATCACCTCAGGTCCTGGGGTGTGACTCATAGCCAGCATGGACCGGCCCAGGACTGTTCCGATGGCCTCTTTGTAAAGCAGTAAATTGTGCTGCAGGGGAGTCTGGGCAGTCTCCAAGATGGGGTGATTCTTTTGGGGGTGAAGGCTACCTTCCTTGGTGGTGGGGAAGTAGAGCAGAGAATTGAAATCAGCCAAGCATCTTCTTGGGGCCAGACATTCTGGTGGACATTTCACACATCACCATCTCACCTGGTCCTTCCACCCTTTGAAAAGATGTTGGGGTTTCATGATTCTATTTTGCAGATGAGGAGACTGAGTCTCAATTAGGCTGAGCCACTGCATGAAAGACGAGCAGCTGGGAACAACAGGAAGGGGAGATGAACCTAGATCTCATTTGGTCCAACACCCATGTTAGTGTCTGGTTCCCTTTTTCCCTGCCTCCAGTGCCAACTCAGTGTTTCTGGCCTCCCTTGGGAAGACTTTGGCCACTGCTTGTGTCTGAGCAAAGACAGAGGAATCCATGGGGTGGGATTTTGTGTGCCAGCCAGTCTTTGGGTAGCCAAGAATAGAAGATGCATTTTCCTTACACAGCTTCCTGGATGCCCACTTGGATTTCACCAGCAGGATGCATCTCAGCTGTGCCTGAAAACACACACCTCCTCTTAAGTCAGGCAGGATTTAAAGAGTCCAGCCAGAGTCTGTTTAGCCTTTTCAGAAATATCGAGTGCTGGTTTCCTTCATGACTTCTCCCAGGTCATCGAGGTCAGGAAGGTCACTGCAACTGGGCATGTGTGAGACTGTTTTGAAGAGCAGCCATGGAGGGTGGTGGGGCAGGAGGAACCAGGACATCTCCCACCTAGAAAGTCCTCTTCTAGTCAGTTCACTGTCTTCATTTTATTTTTATGTTTTAGAGACAGGGTCTTGCTCTGTGGCCCAGGCTGGAGTGCAGTGGCGCGATCATAACTGTAACCTCGAGCTCTTGAGCTCAAGCAATCCTCCCGCCTCAGGCTCCCAAGTAGCTGGGACTACAGGCACATGCCACAACAGTTGACTATAAATTTTTTTTTTGTAGAGACGAAGTCTTGCTATGTTGCCCAGGCTGGTCCCCAACTCCTGACTTCCAATGCTCCTTCCTCCTTGGTCTCCCAGAGCGCTGGAATTACAGGCATGAGCTGCTTACTCTTGGCCTTTCTTCCCTTTGAATCCCCATCACAGAAAGAAGAAAGTTTCATTTGGTGTGAATAACCTTTAATGCCTCCTCATACTTGCTAATCTCCCTTTTCTAACAGAGAGATAGTAGACTTCAGGATCATAGGTAACAGTATTTAATTAGCATCTAAGGGCATTTGGGGGCTCATATTGTATTTATTTCTACTATCTATTTGTGACAGGTGATAATGAATTCTCATTTAAGGTAGCGTGTTAGCATTTCCTTTCACAATGTATTTATTTAAGTGAAAAAGAAAAGTGAGTCTATTTAAGAGGAGAGTCCAAAGGATATGGTAAATTCCTTACAGAGAGTATTTGAAGGACTGATTCTGGTGAAGGTGCAGTTCTACTTTGTAGCAGTTTGTTTTCTGGTGACTTATCTGAGTCTGTTTTCTTGTCTATACAGTGGGAATGATAATAGTACTTTTAGGTCTCTTGTGATGATTTAATAATAACAATACATAATTATAACTAATAAATACTGACCTTTTTCCATGGGTCACGCTTGGAACTCAAACTCAGGCTCTGTAACCTCAAAAGCTATGAACTGAACAAAGATACCACGTTGAATGAAATTAGGTCAATAAATCAAAACTGCTATCATTATCACCATCTCCATATCACCATCATAATCACCACCATCATCATTATCACCAATATCATCATCACTGCCGTCACCATCACAGTCACTGTCACCATCATCATCACCATCATCATTTTATCATCGTCACCATCAACATCACTATCATCACCACACCATCATCACCATCACCATCGTCATTATTATCACCAACATCACTACCATCATTATCATTATCACTGTCAGCAAATGTTGGTATCCAATCGCCACCATCACCGTCATCACCATCATCACCACTAACATTACCTTCATCACCACCATCATTATCATTACCATCAACACCGTCTTCTCTATCACTTTTGAAAGTGGCAGGAATTTTTTTCTTAGCCATGTCACCACCCTAAATCTCAGTTTCGTCGTCTGTAGAATGGGGATAATCTATAAGATGAGAATAACAGAAGGATGCTTTTGTGATGGTGAGTGCTGAGTAACTGGCACACTCAAAAACTGTGGCTGTTTGTGATACCCTTGGTACTGGGCTAGAGTTCCTCCTCCTTGGGTAGTGTGGAAGATGTCTTCTTGAAGAATTGGGTCCTCACAATCTTTTTCTAATGGATTGAGAAATCTTTGTTGGCAGTTGTGATTCTTATTTCATAGAAGGAAACACATTTAAAGGAAAATAAGAGAGAGAAGAAAATTTCTTGTTTTTAAAAATTTTATTTTTAAATTGATAATGACAATTGTGCATGTTTATGGGATACATAGTGATGTTACTATATATATGTAAATATATAATGTATAGTGATCAGATCAAGATAATTAGCATATCCATCATCTCAACCATTAATCATTTTTTTGTGGTGGAAAGATTCAATAGTCTCCTTGTAGCTATTTTAAATAAATATATATTTTTTTTCAAAAAAAAGTATATAGTATGTTATATATTATATAGTCATCCTACAGTGGTATAGGACACTAGAACTTATTCCTTTTATCTAGCAGTAATTTTATATCCTTTAGCAAATCTCTATCCCCCCACCCCTTATCCTCCTGGCCTCTAGTGTGCTCTGTTTTACTTTTTACTTCTAGAAAAGATCAACTTTTTTAGCTTCCTCATACGAGTGAGATCATGCAGAGTTTGCCTTTCTGTGCCTGGCTTATTTCCCTTAGGATAATGTCCTCCAGGTCTATCCATGTTGCCGCAAATGACAGGATTTCAATCTTTTCTAGGGCTGAATAATAGTCTACTGTGTCTCTGTGCCACATTTTTTTTTACATCCATTCACCTATGGTTGGACACCTGGGTTGATTCCATATCTTGGCTATTGTGAATAGTGCTGCAATAAACACGGGGGGTGCAGATTTTCTTCTTTTGGATAAATGCCCAGCAGTGGAATTGCTAGATCATAGGGCACTGGTACTTATAGTTTTTCAGGCACCTCTATATTGTTCTCCATAGTGGTCGTACTAGCTTGCATTCCTACTAACAGTGTCTAGGAGTTCACTTTTTTCCTCATCCTCCCTGGCAGCTGTTATTTTTTTTTACTTTTTGGTAATAGCCATCATAACTGGGGTGAGATGATACCTCACTGTGTTTTTGATTTGCATTTTCCTAGTGATTTCTGATGGTGAGCATTTTTTTACTTATTTGTTGGAAAAAATGTGTTAAGGATGGCACTGTTATTTGTTTTAATACATTATTTGTATTTGAATTGCAAAATTAGTACTCAATCACTGTAGAAAATTTAGAAAAAACCCAAATCTCCTTACCCACTGTGATTGCTACTATTTGACTATATTCCCCTTATTATTATTTTTTTTGTAGTAGTTTAGAATGATTCACACCATTGATATCATACTGTGGTATAGTTTCCTAGTCTGCTTTTCACTTAGTATTCGGTCGTAAGTATTGTCCATGGTGTTCAAAGTCTTTGTTGCTAATTTTAAAGGGCCTTATGATAGTCCACAGCATGACTTCCCATTGCTTCTCCAACCCATCTGTTCCTTTCCCATCTCATTACATTCCAGCCACACTGGCCACCTTGGCAATTTTTAACACCCCATGGTCATTTGTGCCGCAGGGCTTTTGCACTGTCTCCCCCTCCAAGTCTAAAACATTTCTCTGGTTCTCTGCACGGCCAGTTCCTTCTCACTTTTCATAGCTCAGTGTGAATATCACGTCTACAGGAAGAGCCCACTCTGACCCTCCATAGATAGATATCCAACAATTCCCTCAGACTCTTTGGATTTCAACATCCTGTTTTAGTTTCTTCTTGGTGGAGGGCAGAGTAGGGGGGTTTGTAATCTTATTACCTGAAGTTATCTTATGTATTTGTTTATTAGTTCTCTGTCTCACTCCCTTAATGGTCTATATGTTTCATGAGGACAGGCACTTTGTCTGTCTTGTTCATTGACTTCCCGGTGGCTGACACAGTATCTGTCACATAATGTCACTCTGTGAATACATACCAAATAAGTGGATGGCTGGCCAGATGGTTGGCTGTGTGGCTGAGTGGGGAGTTAAACGCGTAATTTGGTGGGTGCTGGGGGATAGTGGAGGGGTGGATGGATGGATAAATGGACACATGGACTGATATACCATTCTTTTATGAACTATTCCCCATGGTATTTTTATGTGCTTCCTTGCAAATGGCAAAAAAGTAGGATAAACAAGTATCTTGGGAGGCCCAAGCCCTCCTTAGGGGCCCCTCCCCTAGGAGGCCAGGCCTGGGCAATTGTCCAGGTTCCCCAGTAAGGCTGGTCCTCCTGGGCACCCGTCTACCCCATGCCCAGGACTTGAGGTCACAACTCTGCTTTGTCCCTTGCACAGTGGGCCGGAAGCAGTTCATGCAGTTTGAGTGGGCGAACCACGCAGCTGAGGCTCTGGGCTGTGAGTACGAGGAGCTGAATATGGCCACCTTCAAGCACCACCTGCGGCAGATCATCGAGCAGGTGACCTCGGGGCGCAGCCGACGGGGCCTCAAGGATGAGGAGACCAGCTCAGGTACTGCTTGCTGCTTCTTTGGCCGGGCTGGGTTCCCTGTGGGCCAACCCCTGGGTGTACCAGCATTTTCTGCTTCTTCATTGGGGATGCACGCAGGCCCCTGCGGGTGCAAGGGAAGCCACCGTGGGCAAAAATGGTCCTGTACTTTGGTAGGGGACACCGTGGGCAGGGTCAAGTGCATTTCCATTGGATTTCATGTTTGTTGAGCCCCTGCTAAGTAGAGGAGACAGATCAGACCTTCCTTTATGAGGGATAACAATGGGGCCGGGATGACTAGCATAGGGTGGGGGATGGTAGGAGGTGAGAGCGGAGGGTTTGTAAACTGGGGTTTTTATCCTCAGAATGATGGCAACCTGTGGAGAGGCTGCAGGCAGAAGAGAGGGAGCCATGATTTGACTCATTCTTTCAGAAGCTCAACCTGGATCAGGGTTGGGAGTGAGTGGCAGGAAACCCTCTGTGAACCTAGAAAGGTCACCAGATGGTGAGGATGGTGGTGACTGGGGATGTGACGGTGGAGACAGGCAAGGCAAACAGTTCCAGGGTCTAGTTCAAGTGGAGGTGGCAGCAGGGGCCTTACAGGGAAGGCAGGGGCCAAAGTGGCTGCTAGGATTTTGGTTGAACCAACACAGGGAGGAGCAGGTGGACTTTGTACCGCACGGCAAGGGCAGGCTCTTTGGGTCCCGAGCACTGGGGTGCTCTCCGTGAGATAGCAGAGCCTGGGTCGGTGAGTAGGGCTGTTGGGCTGTGGTCTTGGGGGTCCCTCTCATGGAACGCCCTTGGATCCCTGGGCCGCCTAAACTATCTGGGGACTTAGGTGTGCCAACCAATGTCGCTCGGACTCCACTGGCCTGCCAGGTCTCCTTTTGGGTCTGAGCTCTGGTGTGAACTGTGGTCTGCTTTGAAATTACCTCTCCTCTTTGACACACACACACACACACACACACACACACACACATATGCATGGACACATGTACACACACACACACACACACACTATACACATGCATACATATGCATAGACTCACGTACACACCACACACCCACGCACATACCCATGCACACACACTATACATGTGCATGGACACTTGCTACATGCACATACATGAAGGACACACACTACACAAATGCACACACACGCACACACAAGGAACATACACACCACACACATGCACACATGCATATGCCACACACATGCACATGCATGCGCATTACATGTGCGCGCATTCTATACACATGTGCAGATATGCATAGCATACGTGCTTGTGAACACATGTGCAAACATGCACTTAACACACATGTGAACAGACACACATCACACACATGCATGCATACAGACACACATGCACAGACACAAACATCATACACATACTCAAGGACATGCACGGACACATACATTACTGCTTTGTGAGTCTGAGTTAACCTCTCAGGCTGAGGTCTCGAGGGTAGACATTAGCAAGCAGGGGACCTTCGGGCTTAGGAGAGATACTGGGAGGCTGTGGGTTGCCTAGCAACAGCCCAGGGTGGAAGTGGCGGTAAGGAGGGGTGAGAGACTCTTTCGAGGCTGTGGTGGGCTGCCTGGAATGTACAAACAGAACTGTTTCTCCAGGCACCAGTGCATGCCGATATGGAAACCATGCTTCCAATTCTGTGGGTGGAACCCAAGATTAAGGGTCAGGATTTGGGATCTAATCCCCTACATGCCCTACTCTGTTCAATGTACCCTGATCAAGCCTGCCTATTTGAATAGGACACACTCGCACACGTGTGTGTGTGTGTGTGTGTGTGTGTGTGTGTGTGTGTGTGTGTTTAAGAAAATCGAGACCACAGTAAGCCTTTTTGCTCTTTGCTACATTCCAGGTAGGCACTTTTCCTGTCTCATTCAGTAGTCTTCATACCTGACTCTAAGCATTCCTTTATACAGACGGACTACAAATTATCTAACACATTTGCTATTGTTGGACATTCAAGTCATTTCAAAAAAGTGTTTTTGCCAACTTAATCAACAATTGGAAAAACTATGTCCCCAGAAATCTTTGTTTCTCTGACTATTTCATTAGAATAAAAGCCTAGGAGTGAAATTATTAAGTCCCAGTGTATGGACATTTTATGGTTTCTAGAATAAAATCGCCACATTTCCCTCCAGAAAGAGAGAACAACAAACATTTACTGAATGCCTGCTATATACCGGCACTTGAAGTGTAAACGCCAAAAATTCCAGAGACAGTGCCCAACTTCGGGGCACTCCCAGTCTCATGAGGGAGACACAGTTTAATAATGTAACTGCACTAGTAAAGATTCAGTGATGGTAAGTGCTATGGGAGCAGGATAGAACTGGGAACTGGCCTAGTGATGGTGGTGGTAGTCAATGAAGACTTCCTGGAGGAGGTGACCTTTGGGCTGAGCCCTGAGGGATGAGCAGGGGAGCACTTTGGAGAAGAGGAAGGACCCTAAGAGTCCTGAGAAGATATTTGGACTTTGTCCTAAGAACCTGGGGGCATCATTTCTGCAGTGGAGGGATGTGGGAAGTTTTCTACTTGAGCGGCCCCCTACTGCTGCTTGTCTGTGGCCCCAGGCAAGGTCCTGATTAGAGATGCAGCTCCTTTCCTCTTCCCAACTCCAGGGCTCAAGATGACGGGTGTGGAGTGTGTGGAAGGGATGGCCTCGGGCCTGTACCAAGAGCTCTTTGCCGCTGTGGTCTCACTCATCAACAGGTAAGGGGCCTCTACCTGAGTATAAAGTCATCCTCTCACTGGTTCACAAATGAGCTCCTGCCCTGGGTGGTTGAGCAGAGTGGTGTTTTGTTTTGTTGTTTTGAATCAGAATCTTACTCTGTTGCCCAGTGCAGTGGCGTGATCATGGCTCACCACAGCCTTGACCTCTTGGGCTCAGATGATCCTTCCACCTCAGCCTCCTGAATAGCTCGGACCAAAGCCATGCACCACCATGCCTTGCTAATTTATTTATTTATTTTTTGTAGATAGGGTCTCACTCGATTGCCCAGGTTGGTCTTGAACTCCTGGGTTCAAGCTAGTCTCTTGCCTTGGTCTCCCAAAGTGTTGGGATTACAGGCATGAGCCTCCCCGCCTGGGCACAGAGTGGTATTTTTTGAGCAGGTGAGACCATCTTTAAGGTGGACAGTGCTGGGTTTAAATTCCACCATGGTCACCCACTGGCTGTGTGACTTTGGCAAATCAGCTTACCTCTCTGACCTCCCTCTCCACGTCTGCACAATAGCTCTATCCCCCAGGGTCATTGGTGAGGATTTAGAAAAAAAAAAGAATTTAAATAACTCTTACAAAAATGCCAATAATAAAAGCTCATGACTTTTTGGCACCTGATAAGGCCCAGGGACTGCACTCTTTGATCACCTTGCCCTGTATCCTTTAATCCTCACTTCAACCCATTGTACAGAAGAAGAGACCGAGGCATGGAAGGTGGAGCTGTGAGCTCAGTATGCTGCACTCTCATCTCACACCTTCAAGTTTTCCCAAATAGCCCAGCATGTTGCTCTCGTCCATTTATTTTTCTAAATTTGCTTGCTGGGAATGGGGAGCGCCGTGGTAGAATTTCAGAGTGGGCCAAGATGTGCCTCTGGCACCAGGAGCCTCTGTTTTCCATCGTTATGAACAATACTCCAAGCCCATTCTTGGAAACCCTGTAAGCAGTTTCAGCAGGGCTAATCCCCAGCCTAGGCAGGCACTCCCCCTTCTGCTCTGTGAGAGCAGAAAGCATAATTAGGCTTCCGAAATCCTGTTAAAGGGATGAGTCTGGCGCGTAGCAACAGAGCGGTCGGGTTTCTCCAAGCCGTCGCGGACCGAATCAACTCCTGCTAACGCTGCTGAAGTAATTACCATCTGAGCCCACAGTTGCATTATCTAGAAACCAAGGGGATCATGTGGGCTTAGAGAAGGGAGGACTGGGGTTGGAAAATGAACTGCTGGCGGAGGAGGCTGCCTTAGCCAGCGATGGGCAGCTGCTCCGTGGTTTGGGTTCTCAGAGCCCGCATTGGTAACATGGGGTATTGACGGCAGCGGTACTTGCTACAGCTTGTGGACGCTCCCGGGAGGTGTCTGGCTTCCCAAGAATTAACCGGCTTAATCGTCCTGCGTGTGTCTGGGTGACTGCTCTTTGGAATCAATGGAAAAACTCAACAAGGCATGGAGAAGAACCGAGGTTCAAACTAAGAGCGTTCCAACGCTGGTTGCTGAGCATGCTAAGGGCAATGACAGCAGAGCACGGTCTCTGAACACTAACCACAGGGCCGACTTCACATGGGCAGCCACTGAGGCCTTATCACACTTAACCCTCACACAGCCTTCTGAACTATGTGCCATCATGAACCCTTTCACGGCCGAGACGGCGGAGGCTCAGAGGGGTTGGGCAACTCTCCCAAGACACACAGCCTCTCTGATGCAGAGTGAGGGTGGAAGTCCGTGTGTGACTGGCTCCCAAGTCTCTTAACTCCTGAATGCTGGTGTGGGTAATCCCTGCTCTGTCCACTCCGACAGAATCGTGAGGCGTCTCCAAGGGAGTGAGCACTTAAAAGGACTTTGTGAATAGTGACACTAGACAGAATTGTTTCTCTATTTCAATGTGTTACTGGGGAAAGAGAAGGAGGCCGTAGTCTAAACTTTGTAGCCCACTTGCTGGGCGATCTTGAGCTAGTCATTTCTCCCCTCTAGGCTGGTGGAAGGCACTTTCTACACCTTAATTCCTTCAGTGCTTATTGCAGCTCTTGGGATCAGTCTACTCGCTTCCCTCATCATTTAACTCATGCTCAGAGAGGCTAGGCAATTTGTCCAAGGTCACAGAGCCTGTAATGGTGAGCTTGGTTTTAAAAGCAGATTGACTGGATCTCCAGGCCCACTCCACATGCTGCCTCAGTTTCTCCACCGCTGTGTTGGGAGAGTGGGATGCTTACACCCGCGGGCTTTCCAATTCCATGCATCTCGGGACCTCTCTCCTCTGCTGGTAGGTCCTTCTCCTCCCACCATCTCTCCATGGCCTCCATCATGGTGGTGGACCCTCCGGGCTTCCAGAACCCCCGGCACCAGGGCAAGGACCGGGCGGCCACATTTGAGGAGCTGTGCCACAATTACGCCCACGAGCGCTTGCAGCTGCTGTTCTACCAGCGAACCTTCGTTTCTACGCTAGAGCGGTACAGAGAGGTACGGCTGGGCTGTACGTGACACTCACCAGAGCTGGGGGGATGGTGTGTGGTCAGATAGGGAGAGGTAGTGTTCCTGTACCCCCATAGCTCCAGTGTGACCCTGTGAAGCTGGCGTACCGCAGAACAAAGCCCTTACCCCAGGCCTCCGCAGCCCAGTCTCCGAGGCCCACTGCCTCTGGAACCCTACGGTCCAGAGGCACTAGGGAACTGGGCTTCACAGGCCTCACTCCCAGGCTGACTCTTTTTGGGATGACTAGTTCCTTCTCTCTCACTCCACCTAAGCTAAAGCCTCCTGCAGGAGTCAGTCTGCATTTCCCCACAACTCGGAACATCCTTTGCGTGCCATGGGTGGGTGGAGACGGGGGACTACACACCCCTTTTACATACCTGGCCATCCTCACAAGGCTGAAGATGCCTGCACCCTATGACCCAGCTATTCCTCTCTGGGGGTACGCCCAGGGAAACTGTGTTTGTGAGCCAGGAAGCAAGTGCAGGCACGTTCCCGCCAACCCTTCTTTTCTCATTAGAAAAATATTATTTAAATTGACATTTACACAGAAAAGAGCATAAATTTGAAATGCACAGCTCAATGAATTTATCCAAATGGACATACCCGTGCACCCATCACCCAGGTGACAATGAGAACATTGTCAGTACCCCCAGATTTCCCCTTGAAGGTGATCACTTTGGCTCTAGCAAATACTAATGGCAAAATATTAGAAATGACCACATTGTTCATCAGTAGGATGGCAGGTATTGAAATTATGGTCATATCTTCATTGGAGCCCAGAGAGCAATTAAAAGCATCAACACGGGAGAATCTCAAACAAATGACACTGATGAAATCTGGTCCTAACCCTGTCACTTATCAGCTGTGTAGCCTTAGGAAAGTCACTCCCCCCTCCAACCTCAATTTCTTTACATGGAAAATAGAGATCATAATACTCTTGTACCAATTATTGCTTGCCACAGTACTGCTGCACAATAAACTGTCCCAAATATAGTGGCTTAGAAAGAATATTCAGTTATTGCTCACAAGTCTCCGGGTAGCCTGGGCAGCTCTTCTGGTCTTGGCTGGGAGAACTCTTGAGCATGTGGTCAGAAGTAGTTGGGTAGGAGGCTCTGATGGTCTTGGCTGAGCTCTCTCATGTGGTCTGGGGGTCAGCAGACCATGAGCTGACCTGAGCAGAACTTGGCTAGGATGATGTCATCTTGACTCCACGAATGTCTCATTCTCAGCAGTCTGGCCCAAGAAAGCTGGGCAGGGCCCCTAGAGAGCAAGGAGAAGCGGGCAGGGCACCTTGAGACCTAGACTCAGAGCTGGCATTGGGTCACTTCTGCTGTATTTGATCAGTCATAGCAAGTCCAAGGCTGAGCACGAGCTCAAGGGGAAGGGAATGTGCCTCTGCTTCTTGATGGAGATGCTGTGACGTCAGTCTGCAAAGACTGTGGCTGCAGGGAGGGGACGAGAACAGGAGGCTGTTTGTATGAGTGCTTTGACCACATGCTCTGAAGGGGCTGATTTGAGCATTTAATGAAATAGGAAAGAAAGTACCTTGTCTGCATTAGTTTGTCAATATATGGTGGCAGCTATGATATTTTCCCATATTTTACTTATTTCTGATGAACAAAGTAATACACATTTTTTATTAATACACTAAGTTGCATATATATAGAAGCTGAAGACACACCTTCCTTTAACCTCATCACCTAGAGGCAGTCACTGGTACTGTTTTCTGTGTCTTACCAGCCATTTTTTCCATATATGGTCTTTTCTACGGATTTTTGACCTTCCCATGTACATGATTTTGCTGTCTGCTATTTTTTCTCACAGTATTTCTTTATCCATCCATTTACAAACCTTAGTGAACATGCATTTCAGTGGTTATATCTAATAATGTCTTCACTCACCTGTGGACATATGGGTGGTTTCTAAGTTTAGGGCTTGATAAACAATACTGTAATGAAAGTCTTTGTACACTGCATTCCCTGGACATTTCTGGTTGCTTTTTGGTGGCAACTATTATTAACCATAGTTTATAACGATCAGAATTGCCATAGAATTCAATAATCCCACTTCTGGGCATAAACTCAAAATAAATGAAATAAAAAACACAGACTGGTATTTGTATACCTATGTGCCTGGCAGCATTATTTGCCATAGCCAAGAGGTGGAAGCATCCCCAGTGTGGATTGCAACTGACAGGTGAATAGACAAGCACACTGCGATATATACACACAAGGGAGTATCATTCAGCCCTAGAAAGGAAGAAGATCCTGACAAAATGATACAACATGATGAATCTAGAGGACGTTGCAACTGAGTGAAATAAGGCAGACACAGAAGCACAAATATTATTATTTCACTTATATAAGGTACTTAGAATAGTCAAAATCATAGGGACAGACAGGAGAATGGAGGCAGCCAGGGATGGAGGAGGAAATAGGGAGCTATTTTTTTATAGGTAGAGTTCCAGCTTGAAAGATGGAAACAGTCCTGGAGATAGATGGTGGCGATGGTTGCACAACAGTGTGAAAACACCACTGAACTGTACACTTGAATGTGGTTAAAGTGACTGATTTTATGCTATGTGTAGTTTACAATTAAAAAAGATTTTTTTGAAAAAGGCCAAGTGATGGAAGTCCTCACTTTTTATCCTTCTCCAGAAGTTTTCCTCTCTATTCAACTCCCAAAAGGGGCTAACTTCTAAATGCTGGGATTTTGCAGGAAGGTGTTCCTGTGCCGTTCAACCTCCCGGAGTCCTCCCCAGGAACCACCGTGGCTGTCTTGGATCAGAACCCCTCCCAGGTAACTTGGGGCCCAGCTAGCCAACGCCCTCAGGTGCCGCGTGGCCTTGCTATTGAAATGCCCATGGATTTTAGTCTTTAAACTATAAGATCTCAATGATGTCTGTACCTAGATTGTCAGAAACCTGAATGCCTTTGACTCACCCAGGTGCTACATGCGTTGGTTTGGGGGTGTGGCCTGGTCACTGGAGATTTAAGTTGTCCTCAAGTTGAGAACCACTGCTCTCCTTTACGTCCGAGTCTATGCCTTAGAATCGACTCACGCCTGGGAGCCGGTAGTCAGGGCAGAAGGGAGTTCACGGCCTGGATCCAAGGGCCTGTAGCCACTCTGGCTCATCTCCCTCCCCTCCCTTCTCCTCCCCGGTAGAGACTGGGGGACTCAGAGACAGGGAACGGTGTTGGGTCCAGGCCCCTGAACTCCCTCAGGGCCAGACAGGCTTTACTTGGGGGATACCCAAGTCTTTACCTCACACTTCCCATGCTGACCCCAGGTCTTCGCCTCTGCTCAACCGAGAACTGCCCTTGACCTTTTCACGCGACTTGTTGCTTTCTCCTTCACAATTTGGTGTGAAAGAACTTGACTGTGGAACCTGCCCACATGGGGCCAGTCTTGGTGCCCTCGGGCGTGCCACCTCACCTCTCTGAGCCTCAGGTTTCTCGTCTCTACAAAAGGGAATGACGCTTTCCCCAGGCTGGTTGTGAACACAAAGGGTGTGTGGCATGGTACTTGGCATGTAGGAGGTGTCCTGCACGTGGCTTCTCTCCTGCCATTGGACACCGTGGGCTGCTCTTTTCTTCTGTCCTTGTGTCCTGTTGACAAGCTTTCCCTCTACCCCAGTATGCAAGACCCATCCTTGCAAAGCCCTCCCCTGCATAAATCCTGCCAGGGTTAGCCGTGTGTGCGCATTGTCATCTCCCTAGCTCATCTCCCTCCCCTCCCTGCTTCCTCACTTGTACCTCTCCTTGGAAGGGGTAGCCCTGAAGGGACACTTCAGCAGTGTCAGTTGAGAAGGGCAGGGTAGTCCCCAGGGCCTATGGACTGTGGCTGCAAATAGCCACCTTCTGAGGACAGGCCGGCGATCGATTTCCCAGTACAGAAGGCCAAGGTGAAGGCCAGGATGACTGGGATTTAGTTCCAGCTCTGCCCTGTGACTCTCCATGAGACCCAAGATGTGTCCTTCCCCCTCCCTGGGGTGCAGATTTCCCTGGAAGGGTGACCAGCAAGATTTTTGCAGGCTTTTCCCACATGCAAAATTACAGCATCGACAGAGTGGTCTCTGAAGCTAGCAGCTAGATTTAAAATTCTGTGTCTGTGCTGTTGAATCAAGTTCATCTTTTTCTCTGAAATATTCTTTAAGTGCTTGTTGTTTTTCTCCCACCCTCAAGATTTTAGTTTAAAAAAAACACAAAGACTTCTAAGAGGAAGTGATGCAGATGGAATTGATCCTTTCAAGTTCGGTTGTGCACGAACCGACCAGCCGCCCGTGTATATCTAGAAGTGTGCAGTTTACAGGGGCTTCCCTTTGCTAAATCCCCCACCACAGCCCTCTGAGGAAGGTATTTTCAGTGTCCATTACACAGGGGGGGATACGAGGCTCAGAGAGGTGCAGCAAGCTGCCCAAGGTCACACAGAAGGAGAGAGCAGAGGCAGGATTTGGCAGGTTTGTAACCAAGAGGTTGTTACAGCTTTGTGGCATCAATACTGAGCATCTGGGGATGAATGGGAACATGGTTTGGGGCAGGCATGTTCTGAGTCCTGATGCCTGGGACTTGGATCTCCCCACTCCCCACTGGGGGACTGGCCTCTGATGGAGATCAGGGCTCCTCAGGGTATCCTGGGTCTCCCACCAGGTCCGCCTACCAGCTGGAGAGGGTGCGGAAGATGCCAGGGGACTGTTCTGGGTCTTGGATGAGGAGGTCCGGGTAGAGGGCTCCAGCGACAGCACGGTGCTCGAGCGTCTGTTTGCGGCCTTTGAGAAAAAAGGTACTGAGGCCGAAGGTAAGGGAGCAAGGGGGTGGGAGCAGAGTTCAACCTGGCTGTTGGAATCTGTCCTTGTCAGGTGCAGGGAAAGCCCTGACAAGGCCTGCAGAGAGGCTCTGAGTACAGAAATGTGTGTGCATGTGCCTGGGTGTGCTTTTGTTCACTTACGTGTTTGCTCATTCATGCATCCAACAGACACACTGAGTAGCTACGGGGTGCTGGGTGCTGCTCTGTGTAGCAGTGAGCCAGCCTGATGTGTCTCACATCCTCCTGGAGAAGAGACAGTAGACAAGCTCACAGGCAGACACACATGTGTACAGTGAGCCTGGGCCATGTGCACCAGGCAGATCTAAGTTCTCCAGAGAGCTGGGAGTACCACGCAGGACAAGGTTGGAGACGTTGCCTGGACTCAGACCGCAGAGGCCCTTACTGGCTGTGCAGAAACTTGGGTCTCAACCCTAGAGCAGCAAGAAGCCATGAAGGAGCCTAAGGAGCAGGAGGCATTCAGATTCATGTTCTGGAAAGTTCACCCAGTTTGCAGTGTGGAGACATGGTAGGAAGGCAGCCAGCCAGGTGAGGGAGGAGCTGGCCTGCTCCAGGGAGGGGGCACTTGGTGGCGGTTGAATTGGTGGGAGAGGAAGCTGGGAAACGAGATCTTGGGATTTGGCGTCCATCAGCCCCAAGTCCAAGTCCAGCTGTTTCGACTTTCCCATTTGACAGTTGAGCCAAACATCTCAGGGTCTTAGTGGCTGTACTCACACAATGGAGAAGGGAGTCACCCCGGACCCTCTCTCTTCAGAATTTCTGTGACAATGATTGGATGAGAAAAGGTGCAGGGCTTTGTCATCCACTGCAAAATGGTGCAAGTTGATGGATGAGGAGAGGATGCGGATGCAGATGGAGAACGTGATTCCATCATCAAAGGCGTTGAGGAGTGCGGTATTTCTCCCATGCAGGACAGCATACTCAGAGATTATGTCGATTATCTGGTAGGATCCTGGCATCCATTTGGAGATTAATATTCTTATACTCAAGATGAGGAGGCATTTGAGCTCCAGAGAGGTAGAGATGCTTGTCCAAGGTCACCCAGAGAAGGAGTGTCAGAAGGCAGGCTCACAACAAGTTTGCCTGAATTTAAAACCCTGGTGAACTCTGCACCACCAAATAGGCTGAGAACTTTCAGTCCCAGCTGGCTTTGGTGGTCAGAATGTAGGCTTGTTTATTCATAGGCCCATATTGGAAGTATGTGTGGGGTACTTCATATGTGGCAGCCACTGTTCTAGCCCAGGAGACTCATCAGGGAACAAAACACAAATCTTCACCCCCATCGGACTGCCATCCTAGCAGAGGTGATAGATAATAAGGCAAATAAATCTGTAAGAAGGAGACTGAGGACCAGGATTCTGGTTGTGGTCACTCAGGGAATGAGGGTTGGCAGAGAAGATTCCAAAGGACTCAACTCTGGGACATTGCCATGTCAAGAGGTCAGGGTCAAGGAGAGCCATCATCACAGGAGAACAAGGAGATGTAACCAGGGAGGTGTGACCAGGGAGGAGGGATGAGCAGGGAGGTGGTGGGGTGGGGGATGCCTGAAGAATGTAGTACCCTAAAGCCAGAACAGGGAGCAGAGGGATCAACCTACTCAATGTGGCTGAGAGGTCAAGTATGGTGTGGGCTGAGGGGTGGCCATTGGTTTGGCTACTGGAGGTCACTGGTGACCTGGATAAGCCTATCTTGATGGAGTGATTGGGATGAATGTCCTTCTGGAGTGGTTTATGAGAAATTAGGAAAAGAGTGGCAGTAGAAGCTTCCATCCTGTGGTGACCAGCCAAGGCCTGTATCCAGGATACTCATAGTGGATTCCTGGGTTCATGTCACAAGATTTTCTAAGCAGCACAGCATCTGATGGCTCCTGCAGCCCTCCCTGAAGCCAGCTCAGAACACTAGAACCCAAGTTATTCCCAGAGAGCTCAGCTCTGCAGGCAACTGACCAACCCAGGGCTGAGCTCTCTGCTGGGCAGGGAGGTACAGTGCCTGGGGTCTTTGGTATTTTGGGGGTCCATGAAAATGTTTTAATTTTTGTTAAAAGAAAAAGAAAAAAGTAACTTTTAAGTCAAATGCAATGCTTTAATATGTGGACTTATATATTAATATTAATCTGTCTTTATACTAACATAATCATAAAATATAATTATGTATATGTGCATATGTATATGTGTGCATGTGTGTGTGTATGCATGTATATATGTACATAATGATGCACTGTATAAGGGTGTTTTGGTCAACAATGGACCACATATATGATGGTGGTCTCCTAAGATTATAATACCATCTTTTTACTGTGCCGTTTCCATATTTAGATGTGTTTGATGCACAAATACTCACCACTGTGTTACAGTTGCTCACAGTATTCAGTAGAGTCACATGCTGTACAGGCTTGTAGCCTTAGAGCAATAGGGTATACCACACAGCCCAGGGTGTAGTAGGCCACGCCATCTAGATGTGTGTAAATGCACTCTGTGATGTTCACACATGATGTAGCTGCCTAATGACACAGTTCTTAGAATGTATTCCTATCATTGTGACACATGATTATATGCGTGTATGCCTCTGTGTGTATGTATATATGTCTCTGTGTGTATATGTTTATATACATGTATATATGCTGTGTGTGTGTGTTTGTGTGTGTGTTTCTATAATGGAAAAGGGGGCCTCTGAAAGCAGAAGTGCCCAGGGTCCAGGAAAGTCATCATGCAGCGCTGGACTATCCTCACCCCAGAAGGGCCCTGGCATTCGACTTGACCTTGGCTGTGAATGACTCCTAGCCTGGGTTGGGAGGTGTGTCTGCCCCTTTTTCAACTGGTGAAGGAGGATAAAGGGGTTATAGAAACTGCTGTCTGTGGAACCCTTAGCCTGAGCCAGACCTTGTGGGCTTCACCATGCCCCACCTGCAGTGAGTGACTGGGTCCTTGTTGAGGCTAGGCAACTTCCCAGGGCCCACTAGACACCCAGCACAAGGCTAGCACTGAACCAGGTAGCCTCACTCTAGAGAACAGATAGATCTGCGACCTCTCTCTGGGCTGCCAAAGTGGCCCCTGTCTCCAAGTGTAATAGGCTCAGGAGTAGAGATTTTGGGGGCTGGGGTAGGCAGCTCATCCTGATCCAGAAGAAGCCAGGAGGGAGAACTGTGGACACCCAGGCTTTGCACTTCAGAACCCTGAGCTGGGCCTGCTTATTGTGCAATTGCACTGTGAGAGGCTTCTGGGAAGTCACCTTCCCTCCCTGCAAAATGGCAGTAATGGCAAAGCCTACCTTGGGGGGCTATGGCGAGGATGGATGAGCTGTGTGCACGGAGACATCTATACCTTCTCCTCCTTCAGCTCTCTGCTCAGAGGTCACCTCTCCGAGGCTTTCCTACCTCTGTCTGAAGCTGTCCCCTGGGCAGCCTCAATGCCCCATCACACTCTGTTTATTCCCTCAGGGTCCCTTCCAGGCTCTGTGAGCCTGCGGTGATTTCTTTGTTCTGCTAGTTTGTCATTGTTCCCATGACCCTGTGGGCTCCCTGAGGGCAGAGGGCACCTCTGTCAGTTCATCTGTCTAAAAACATAGACAGATGAAGGAGCTCTTCAGCTAGATGGTTGGCCCCTTCTCCTTTTTTCCATGAAGCCTGGTGGTGCCAATCCTGGGTTCTAGTGTTCTGAGCTGGCTTCAGGGAGGGCTGCAGGAGCCATCAGATGCTGTGCTGCTTAGAAAATCTTGTGACATGAACCCAGGAATCCACTATGAGTATCCTGGATACAGGCCTTGGCTGGTCACCACAGGATGGAAGCTTCTACTGCCACTCTTTTCCTAATTTCTCATAAACCACTCCAGAAGGACATTCATCCCAATCACTCCATCAAGATAGGCCAAGAACATAGCCAGAAGCCATGTGCAGTTTTCCACCCTCTCCTGTTCCCATCACATGACCTCTTTTCTGCTCCTCAAACATGCCAAGCACACTCACACTTCGGGCCTGGCATCAGCAGAGTCTTCTGCCTGGACCACCTTACCACTACAGTCCAGCACCTTCTTCAGGCCTCGGGTCTTTGGCTACCTGTATAAAGCCACAGCTCTCCCCACCCGCACTCCCACCCTTCCTCCACTTACCTTTTCTGCTTTGCAGTGGTCACCAGGGTCACCAGGACACATCTCACACTTGCTCATCAGCTCTCTCCCTGCGAGGGAAGGCCAACTTCTTGAGGGCAGGGGCGGGCCACCTCTGCAGAGGCGCCACCTGGAGCAGTTTGCAGGATGAGGTGCACAGTGAACACACATTACAGATGGGTGCATATGTGAAAACTCATCCAGAATCAAAGGGAATGGGGTTCTCAGATGGAATGTTGTCTGGAGGAAGGAAGTGGGGTGGAAAGCAGAAGCCATCTTGTAGGGTGAGGCTGGGGTGGACAGAAGGAGCTCTTCAGCTAGATGGTTGGCCCCTTCTCCTTTTTTCCATGAAGCCTGGTGGTGCCAATCCTGCACCCCCATCAGGATGCTGTAGGGCACTCAGTTCCCAAGGGAGAGACTCTATTGTATCCTTTGCCCAGAACTGAGACAGATACATTAATTCAGATGTTTTGGTTTTTAAAAAAGTTATTTTCCTCTAGGGCTTTCTGATTAGCTCTGAGTTAACGAGAACTTTCAATCAACCAGAATACTTGGGGCACTCTGGCTAACCCAGCACTTGCTGTTTACCCAAGGTCCATGTACTGAGTGTCCCTGCAAGGGCCAGTGAGGACTGGGGTTAGCCCTCAGTGGACAGTCAGATGACAGGCATTCATCAACCTCAGGGAGTGACCTGTAGGGGCTGAGGAGCCCTGGCTAGGGGTTCAAGATCCTGGGGCGGTGGGGTGACAAAGCTGAAGCTAGGTTTAAACCACTGGATAAGGCACCATCTTCCAGGAGTTTCCATGGGACTCCCCAAAGCCAAAGGCTTCTTGTGAAATGCTTTCATGGTCAAAGTTGTAGAGAATGCAGGGAGTGAAGGGAACAAGCAGGCCTGGAACCTGGCGCTGTTTTCCAGGACAGCTCCTGGGAAATGTGGCACTTCGTGTGCTGGCCATCTCCTTGGACAGAGGCAGGCTTTGGGACCTCTGTGTCCTCATCCTGCTGTGCAACCTCTGTCAAACTGCCTCAACTCTCTGACCTTCAAGGCCAACTTCTAGAAACAAGCCCAGAGATGCTCATGTCATCAAACACAGGGAATCACTTGTGTCCGGCAGGGAGTGCTAGGACCTTGGACTCAGCAAATACCACCATGCTTGCTTCTCTCTCCCCCTCCCCTAACTCTGTGTGACCCATCACCATCCACTCTTCTCTCCCCCCTCCCAACTCCATCAGGGTCCCTCACCATAATCTCTTCTCTCTCTCCCTCCTCCAATCTCTCGGGGTCAATCACCACCCTCTCTTCTCTCTTCTTCTTCCAACTTTCTTGTGATTCATTACCATCCTCACTTCTCCCTCACCCACCTTCAATTTGGGGGGGCCCATCACCATTCTTTCTTTTCTTTCCCCCTCCCTCACCTCTATGGGGGTCCATCACCATCCTCTCTTCTCTTGGCCCCCTCCAATTCTGTCAGGGTCCTCCTCAGAGCCTAGCTCTGTGCCAGCTGCTGAACATAAGGATGAACCAACACAATCTCTGCAAGTTGCTTCCAGTCCATTGGAGGGAGGCACCATGCAGGTAGATACCTGCTGCATTATAGGGGCATTGGGAATGTTAGTGGCAGAGCCTAGTGTCTACCTTGTCACCTTGCTCCCCAGGGATGCTTTTCTTTTCCACTGGAAGGTGACTCCCTTGAGGGCAGAGACTGGACAACTTTGAAAGGCTCACAGTAGGCTCTTGATGAAATTTCCCTCGAAATGTTCTTTGCTGGTAACTTCAATGATTCAGGACACAGAACCATCCGAAAAGTGAGGACAAATGACCTTGAAGCAGCCAAGCAGGGGCAGAAGCTGTGCCCCTTACTCATCTGCTGGCCCTGGGAAGGCTGCAGACTCTTGAGTTGCGTGTATTTTGTATGGAGTCCCAAGAATTACAGGCCCTTCATCACTAGCTCACTGCAGTTTAGAGGTAGCAAATTAGGAATCAGGAGAAGGATGCAATACCCGAATGCATGTGGGTTTGTTGGCATTAGCAGGGTGGCAAAGCCAAGCCAGATCATTCCAAATAGATACAAGAATCAGGACAGTACCACCACCCTGAATAATCATCTGTCTGGTGCCATTCAGCTCAGGGACAACCATCCCAAAAGTGTGAAGTCAACCTAAGAGCATCACGCCAGTCAGAATGATATAATAAATGGTCATCAATTCGTTCATTCATTCGTTTGCTCCACAAGTGCTTCTGAACTCTGTCCATGTGCCACACATGGCACTGAGCACTGGGGATCTGAAGGTAAATACTTTGCAACACCGGAACATCAGCAGAAGCTTAAATGCAGCACAGGGCAGTGACAGCTTCTGTGCCGGGCACCACACTGAAATATTTTACACATGTTATATACTAGCCTTGAACCACTCTGGGAGGCATGTATTGTTTAATCCACATTTGATAGAGGAGGACACCGACACTTAGAGTTGTGCATGGCTTGGCCCCTTTCACACAGTCATAAATGCCAGAGAACCCAGGTCTTCTCTCTGTCCCAACTCCCGACCCATTTGTTTCTCTATCTCTGGCTCTTGCAACCAAGAGTGTGCCCACCTTTGCTGAGAGTGTGCTGTGCATTTATTTGGTTGATGGCATTCAAGACGATTTTAATTGGCCTATGACTAAATATTTTTTAAAATGTTTAATCATGGTGTATTTATTTTCATGCATATTAGGAAATAAATAGAACTTGCATGCCAAACCTGCAATATAATAGTTGTTTTTTTAAGTGAACGTACTGTACTTGTGATATGAGTAGGTTTAAAGGAAACCTTAAGTAAATCACAGCCCAGGTAATACATGGATATCTCCATATCTATATCTGTATCCGTATCTGTGTCCACACCTGTATCCACATTCACATCCTCCACATCCACATTTGTATCCGTATCCATATCCGTATCCATATCCATATCCGTATCCGTATCCGTATCCATCTAGCAAAACTCAAGAAGATTGTCCTGATGCTGTCCTGATGCTGTATCTTGGGTTTAAGAAAGCAAGGTGGAGTAAAATACACTTTGGAAATAACATGCACAAATTTGCTGAAGCAGGAAAAATGTTGGAACCTTCGACCGCCAGCATTAGCCATCTGGAAACACATTGAAAGGGAGGGATGACACTTGATTGCAGAGGGTGCCCACAAGCCCTGACCCTCATGCTGCCTGTCCGTTTTCAGGGAATTCTGCCCTGCGCATCTGTGAGCAGCCCCTCCAGTGCGAGATTTCCCACCAGCTGGGATGGGACCCCGTGCGCTACGACCTCACGGGCTGGCTCCACAGGGCCAAGCCCAACCTCTCAGCCCTGGATGCCCCCCAGGTCCTGCAACAGTCAAAAAGGTGAGGCGGGAGGTGGCTGGGGCACTGGAGGGGCCATGTTCTCCTCCCCACCTAGAGGGCACAACCACAGCAACCCAGTGAGGGAGAGCCAATCCAGGATTCCATCTCTGTGTAATGAAACAAAGAGTCATAATGTGAACTGGAATGATGCACTATCTCCCTGGGGCCGGAGTGGATCCAGCTGAGGAGAGAAGCTGGCCTTCTGGGGCAGAGGAACCAAAGCTCAAAAGCTGTGACTTCCTATTTTGGCTTTTTGCCTTTCATTAAGTATCTGAGAGATGATGTGACTGGAACAACTTTTATGGACATCCTAGAACTAGGGGGTTGTAAAACTGAAATGACACGTTTTGTAGCATTTAAAAAAACTCACTGCGTTCCCTGGCTGCTCATCCCAGAAGTGCTGGCGCAGGGTCTGCTGCAGTCGCTGCTTTCAGTTCACAGGGTTATTGGAAAATGCTTTTTCTTGTATGTGCTTGCTCCCAAGTTCAATACTGGAACACTGCAGGGGCAGGGCCTAGAGACAAGAAGAGAGACTGAGACCACCAGGGAGGTGCTGGTGTCTTGGTGGGCATGAAGGTGAGGAAGGAACATTTGCCGACACTCCACTATGTGGCTTACATCAGCCTAAATGCTTTATACATATCTTCTTAGTCCTTATAACAACACTGAATCCTTAGCCCCGTTTTACACATGAGAAAACTGAGGTCCCGAACAGTAAAGAGGCTTGCCTTTGATCACACAGCAAAAAAGTGCAGAGCTGGGGTCCACCTTGAGTCTAAGTGTTCCTTGGAGAATTCTCAGGACATCGTGGTCCAAGTTGATGGGAAACCCTGTATCCGGGAGGGCTCATAGACATATAGCTCCTGAAGGGAGATCAAGGCAGGGAAGGGGGGAAAACCAGGTCAGTGAGTACATGGAGGCCTGGGCGGGGAACCAGGAGACCTGGGTGGAGTCCCAGCCCTGCCCTTGTCACCCGAGTGACTATGGGCAGTCCCTTCCCCTTCTCCAGGTGGTTTTTGCTTCCTCCACCGTGCAATAAGAGTGGGACTAGGCTGCAAGAGTCAGCGGCTATAGCACAGCTTTGAGTCTGGCAGGTGCTCCACTCCAATTCTGCCTCTACCCCTTTCCTGCTGCATGACCTGGGCCTCAGTTTCATAATCTGAGGAGTGCGAGTGATGGTACCAAGCTCAGATGTCTGATCTGAGAAGGCTTTGGAGACAGAAAGTGGCAGTCAGCTTAGTAAGGAGCCAGGCTCCTCGTGGGCCCAAGGAAGAGGGCAGGCCAGCTCAGGTCTGTCAGGGCAGACACCTTAGGAGCCAGCACCCTCACACTCATCTCAGAACCCGTCCGTTCCAGGGATGCTGTCGGATCGGGTGTTGGGTTGGGTGTTTAACTGACACTATCTCGCAGCTCCAGAAACTGCCAGTTCAGCCTGGGAGTCATTCATTCTTGCCTGAAATAGGCAGCATGTACCTACTGCACATGAGGGGCAACAAAGATCATTTTGCTCCTAAGGAAGTGCAGGCATAGTCGGATTGCTGTAGGGACGTAAGTGACAAGAGTATCTGTGGAAGGAGAGATGATGAAGGGCAGGGGAGGAGTGAGCGTTTGCAGATGGGAGCAAGGCGTTCAGGAGCTGGCACTGTTGTGACACAAGCACACCATGGCAGAAGGGACTGTGAGTTAAGGGGGGTGGCAGCTGGGCGGAGAGGAGGCCTTAGGAAGCAGTGGATAGGACTTGTGGTGGGCTCAGTCCCTCTGTCCCCAGCTCTAGGGCGAGGCCTTCCCAAGAGCCCCCTAAGGCCCCTCTCTCTTTCCCTTCCTGCCCGCCAGGGAGGAGCTGCGGATCCTGGTCCAGGCCCGGGCCAAGCTACCTCCCATGTGCTGGGCCGTGGCGGGCCTGGAGGGCACCTCCCAGCAGGCACTGCAGAGGAACCGCATAGTGAGAAGGGCGTTCACCAGCAGCCTGGCCGCAGTGAAGAGGAAAGCCCCGTGCTCCCACATCAAGCTGCAGATGGTGAGCGGGCGCTCTGTCCCCTGGAGTCACAGTCTTGACCGCCACACACACACACCTCCTCCAGGATGGGTCATCTGCCTGCATCACCTCCAACCTCCTCAGTGAGCCCAGAGGAGCGGGCATCACCTCATGCTCCTCAGGGGAGGAAGCAGGGGCTCTGAGCAACAAGAAAACTTGGCTGTGACCACACCCCTGGGAGGTGACCGATACAAGTCTGAGGCCAAGGCCTCAGCTGCTTGGTGTTGAGTTGAGAGGCTTGGGGGAGTTACTGGACCCACGAATGCCCTCCTCATTAAGGTGGCAGTTGTCAGCACCATGCCAGCCCCACCTGCCTCTCTCACTACCAGACTTTCCCTAGGGGAAGACAGCAAGATCTGGCACTGGATGCAAATATGTTACCTGGGACGGGAACATGAGTCCATTAACAAACGAGGACATGTGATTGGTCAGTGGTCAGTCTGAGCCCAAATGAGAACAGGCTGGGACATGGGAAGGTTACATTAAAAACAAACAACAACAAACTTATAGCATGTTACATTGGAAAAGCCCTTAGGCTGAGTCCTGGGTTTGAGTCCCAGCTCTTCTGCTAGTGGCCTATGTGACCTGGTGTCACTCACTTGTCCTCTCTATACCTCAGTTTCCCCATCTGTTTCAACAAGGGTCCTTATTTTTCATGAGTATGAATCAGACGGAAGGCAGGAGGTCTGTGGTGTAGAACATAGGGCCCCCAGAGACACCCAGGCTGGTCTGAATGTGTGTTTGGGAAATGTCCAGACCCCCATTTGTCTCTCCTGGAGACAGTGCCTTGAGCTCCTCTCTCCTTGGTTTAGGATGCCCTGACTAGCTTGATCGGACGATCGCAGCTGCACTTCATCCACTGCCTGGTGCCAAATCCTGTGGTGGAAAGTAGGAGCAGGCAGGGGTCTCTGTCACCCCCACAGCCTGTGGGAGACAAGCCCGGGGCAGGGGGGCCCCTGGCCCTGGACATCCCAGCCCTGAGGGTCCAGCTTGCGGGTTCCCACATCCTGGAGGCTCTGCGTCTGCACAGGACAGGTAAGAGACAACCGGGACAGAGCATCTTGTCCCTGCTCCTTGGGACACGCCTGCCTGCTGGTGGCAGCCAAGGGCCTGGAGCACATCCTGTGTGCCAGGAGTTTTCCCTGAGGTGTCTCACTTACTCTTCCCAGCGGTTCCTTGAGAGAGGGGCTATGGTCACTCCCACTTTGCAGACACAGTCACTGAAACTCAGAGAGGTGGAAGGACTTCCTCAAGGTCACTCTGCTTGGGACATGGTGTAGCTTGGATTTGAACCCAGGTCTCTTTGAGTCTGAAGTCTTTATTATTTCTAGAATTGCTTGTATGCTTCTGGGAGGCCAGGGCTGTGTCTTCCTTCAACTCCAAATGTCTAGGAGCCCCGTCTTGGGATAGAGTGGCATTTCCAGAGTGAGTCATGTCTTGGTGTTCAAGATGCATGGTCTGCTTCAGGAGATCACTGTGATCCCAGGAGAAGAGAACATGATGTGGTGAGGGCATAGGTCACCCAGGGGTGCAAGAGATCCTGAGCACAGAGGAGGGAGCTTCCTACATCACTGGGGAGACTGGGGAAACCTCTTAGGTGATGCAGCATCTCAATCAGGTCTTGCGATCGGGGAAGCAGCTCACCTCTGGGAGGGGAGGAGAGGGAACATTAGACAGAGGATCAGAAAGGCAGGGAGGCGTGAAAGGGTCTGGGTGTTCCAGGTTCAGAAGGAATGGGGGCATGTGGAAGAGGAAGCTGATGCATCTTCCAGGGCAGGCTGTGACAGCTGTTGTGGGAAATTTCATTTTCACCAGGACCAACTGGGGAGATGACTGGCAGTGGAGGGGTTTTAAGTGAGGGAGTGAGATTCTCAGGTCTGATTTTAGTGAGTGAGGTCACCACCATTAGCCAATCTTATGAGTTGGGTTTGATCTCAATCCTTCATTCTTTTCTGGCTCTCAGCCCCAACTCCCCCCTGACTGCTGGAAATGGCTCAGGCACAGCCTTGCTCTCTGCAGAGGAGTCTGCAGAGTGACAGGGGGCAGGCAAGGAGTCCCAGGAGGGCACCATCTCCCCAGCGTGTGGTCGTTGCTGCCCTCCCCTCCCTCCTGTGTTAATCATGGAACCATGGGCATGGAGTCTTTGACCAGGCGTGGCTGGAAGCAAAGATGAGACCCTCACTCCCCCGAGCACATCATTGATTTTCCTTCCTGCCTGCACAGCTGCAGGCGGAGGGAGACAGATAATGTCACAGAAGAAGAGTGAGATGGTCACGGCCAGCAGCTGGGCGCCTGCACCCAATCGATTCTGTCCGGCTGCTGGGCCTTTACAGGCACCCCAGACCTGAGTCAGGCGGTTAGAGCCCCCGAGTGCATGCAGCATCAGGGCGTCCCTTTCCCAGGGGACTGCCCTCCAGGATCTACCCTCTCTGCTTCCAGCCCTATTCAGCCAGGATGACCTTTTCAACCAAGTAAGGGGTGGATGTCTCATGGTACAGCTTTCCAGTTTCTGCCTCCCAGACCTGGTTCGTTTCCCACCCCCCTCTTTTGTTTTTTCTGTTTTAAGTCACTTCTGTCTCTTTCACACCAACGTGAGATATATTTACATGCACACATAGATACATACACCAAATATTTATGATTTTGAATTCGTGCATATATACACACACTTATAATGCATACCCAAGTATGCTATTTATTGAGTAGCTACTCTATGTGAGGCACCGTGTGGTCACATAGACCAAATGAGATTGTTCTCACTGCGCTAAGGTAGTGCCTGGCATACAGTAAATGAATGAGCATTTGCTGGTGGGCACAGCTCAGATTCTGTAGAGACATGGCCTGGGCTTTACTCCAGCCACCCCCTCTCACCAGCTGTGTGACCCCAGGGACGTCCTTACAGCATGCCTCTCTTTTTTCCATAATAGCTCGTACCTCAAAGAGCTGTTGCAAGGGCTGAGTGAGTGAAATAAGGAAATAAAGCTTAGAGGAATGGCAGGGTGTGGGGAAAGTGTGTTATACACATTAGCCACTTGGGCTGTAATGGTTATCAGCTTTAATCCTCACAGTGACCATGTGAGGATAGATCTTATTGTACTCATCTGACATGTGAAGAAATGGAATCTTAAAGAGCTGGTGACATTTGGCCCAGTAGTGGGGCTGATAAGGGAAGAGATGGGATGTGAACCAAGGTAAGTCATACCTAAAAGCTCAGAATTCCATACCAAGTCCTTCTGGAAAATCTATGGTTTCCTCAAAGGCTGGCTCTAATGTTATTTCATTTCAGTAGCTTTTCAGTTGTCCTCTGTCACCCTCATTTCCCACATAAAGGATGCAACTGTGTCTTCCCTATGTGGCAGGGGCACAGGAGTCCCAAGATAATTCCCAATGCAGCATCCCTTACGTGCAGACTATGGGGTGAAAATAAGTATCAGACTAAAAGTTTCTATGGTCAAACAGGTTTGGGAAACTCTGGGTTAGTATTGGGAAGTTCAAGGTATCAGGCATCTTCCCTGCAGTAGTTCTCAGAGCCTTTGATGTGGATGTTGCCATGCTCTGTGGCCTTCCAAGGGGCAGCTTTTTCAGACTTTCAGTGGAGTGTTTTGCAGGGTCTGAGTTGTGGAAACACATTTGAGAAGGGTCAATCATGTCCAGTTGCTTAAATTAGTACCTGGAGAAACTGAGGCCCCTAGAAGAAAACCAACGCAGCAAGTCAGTAGCCTAGCCGGGAGCAGGACCCTGAACTCCTGTCTGGGGCTTGAGGGTGCTGGACTGGGCCTTCTCACTTGGACTCTGTGTTCTTCTGCTGCCTGCTCCCACCTTCCCAGGCTATGCCGACCACGTGGGGCTCACTCAGTTCCGCCGGCGGTTCCAGGTGCTGGACCCTCCTCTCCTGAAGAAGCTCATGTCAGCCTCTGAGGGGATAGACGAGAGGAAGGTAGGTGAAGCTGGGGCAAGGGGTTGGAGGCCTGGGATGCTCTGACTGAGGTCTGATGACCTGCTGTTCCATAGGGATTGCCTTGGGGGCATCTGGGTCAGCTGGGATCTGGGAGTGGGGCCTTGGGGGCAGTACAGGGCTTGGCATGAGAGTTGGCTCAGATCCCTGCTCCAGACAGTACTCTCAATGGTGTCACTTGGGACCCTACTCATCCCAGAATGACCCTTCTGGGCCCTGCAGGAGTGGGAAATTAATAAGACTAGAGGGAGTAATGAAGAGAGACTGCCCCAGCTAAGAGGGGCCTGAGCAAGATGAAAAGCCGTTTTTCCAACGAGTGATCCCTGCAGCATCAGCACCCTGAGGTGGTCTATGCAAAGAGGGCTCCAGGGGGCATCATGTTTGGAAAGTATTTACACTGGGGCCCCCATCTTTGAGAATTATCATGGGTATCCTTCCTCAGGGCCCTTGCACTCACCGTGCCCTCTGCCTGGAGCTCTTTTCCCTGCCAGTCTTTGCATGACTGATGTCATCTTGCTACTCAGACCCTGGCTCAGATATTACTCTCCGTCACATCCTCTTGTTTCAGCGTTTGTGTAGCACTTATCCTTATCTGAAATTACATAGATCCCTTATATTTTTTGGCTCTGAGCCAGGAAATGCTTTTGTTGTTGAATGAGTGAAGAAATGAATGAATGAATGAATATACGCATCTAACTTCATATTTTTGCCCCTGTATGTCTCCTTTCTCCAACTCTACTGAAACCTCATGGAATCATTTCTTTACTCCTGTTGCCAAACACTCAATAAATGTTTCTATAGAGAATGGCCACAAGCTTATTAATGATTATAGAGCTTGTTAGGATTTCAAAGTGCTATTGCATCTTCACAACAGCTCTGCCACACAAGAGCTATTACGCCCCTTTTACAAATGAGAACACGGAGGCTCTTTGAGATAAAGTCACTCTCCTGGGGCCAGGGAGCTAGGCAGTTATGAGTTTGCTCCTTGAACTCTGGGGTCTTGATTCTGGGAGGGTGATTGAAAGAGCCTGGGCTTCAAGGGCCACAAACCTGAATTTGACTCCCAGCAGGGGTTGTGTGAATGTGAGCAAGTTACTTCATCTTCCTGCCTCACTTTCCACATCTGTAAAGTGGGGGCAGCAGTAGTTTCTCCCTCAGTGGAGTGTTCTGCAGATGATCAGCAGCAGTGTAGTTGATGTGCTTGACGCAGGGCCTGGCACACAGCAAGGGCTCCATATGTCTTACCTGCTGTCCTCAATAGCAGCAGCAGCAGAAGGACCAACATCTCTATCTTTGTTCAAGTCCAGGGTGATGACAACCAAGCCACACAGACTCTGTATCCACAACCGCCTGAGCTTGTCTGTACTGTGGTCCTCAGCTGATGAGTCAGAGGCAAGGCTAGAAGTAAACAGAGTTACAATGCTGAGGTCCCTTCTTGACCCTTCTCTGCAGTGGACACCAGGGCACAGGCTGCCGTCAGCAGACAAGGCCTCTGCGGGACCCCTCCTAACTCATATGGAAGGGGACGTCAGGCCCAGATGTATGTGGCACAGGGCTATTCCCTGTCTGGGTAGAGGCCCATCTTGGAAGCCGTGAAATCCTGCCTGGCTTGGTGCCATCCACCACTCTGTGCCAACCTTCACTTGGGGTTCCTTATTCTTGGTCCCTCAGAACTTGGTCCCCATTCAGAGGGCCTGGAATGAGCCATTGAGAGGGACTTGGGCTCCTCTGTGGTTGCAAACAGTGCAGGAGCGGGGTGTGGGAGAGTTTTCTGTGGGGGTGATGGGTGTAGCATGTGGAAGCGTTTCTATTCTGGACGACTCAGCAGTTCTCTGTCGTAGCCAAACTGAAACCACCTCCATACATCCTAGAGGCTTCAGAAAATGGAAAATTACAAGTGGCATGGACTTGGTTGGGAGTTTTTGCTTCTTATTCTGTTTTTTTTTTTTTATTTGCTCACAAATTTCATTTGCTGCAGCATAGAATTTTGATAGCAATGAAAGGAAATGCCATCCTGCCTCTTATGAAAAAGCTGATAAATATTCACTTGCCAGACAACATGATATGCCATGAATTATACATGAACACGTGCTTGGGTGGGCAAACTATCAGCCTCTGTGTGCAAAGCAGTTAAGACCTCAGGATTTAATAAGACAAGTTTGACAGCTAGAAAAGGTCAATATTGTCATTAGACACTAGACGGCAGCAGAGGGAATTCATCGTCAGAGTGAACGGGCCTCAGTGAAGTCCCCTGTGTGCTTAACATGTGAGGCCAAGGGGATTTCCCTGCAAAGCACTCTCATTTTGTGGGTACCTGCTGGATATTTTGTATTCCTGAAACAAACATAGCATATGCAGACGTGCAAAGTCTCATCACAAAATATCATACACAATGTGGAAAGGTTCCAGAGCCATGGCCTGAGACAATCCTTAAAGGCTAAAGCCTTCCTACTCTGAGAATCATCCCCACTTCACAGTAGAGGCAGCTGAGGCCTTGACCACCCAGCCAGGTAGTAGTAGAGCTGGGATTTGAATTCAGGCTCTCAGATTCTGTACGCAGAGCTCTTCTTTCTTTCTTTTTTTTCCCCTTAAGATTGTGGTAAAATGCACAGTGTAAACTTTACAACCTTAACATCTTTATGTGTTTAGATGGGTGGTAAGTACATTCACATTGTTGTGCAACCGTCACCACCATCCAGCTCCATAATGTTTTCCTCTTCCCAAACTGAACCTCTGTACCTATTACACAGCAGTTCCTCATTCCCTCCTCCCCACAAGCCCTGGCCTCCATTTTACTTTCTGTCTCTACATGTTTGACTACTCTACATCTTACAATTGCAATACTGTCTATGTCCTTTTAGGTCTGGTTTATTTTACTTAGCAGAAAGTCCTCAGGTTTCATCCATGTTGTAGCATGTGCCAGAATTTCCTTGCTTTTCACAGCTGAATAATTGTCCTCATTTCACTTGTCTGTTTGTCTATTGATGGACACTTGTTTTAGTTATTGTGACTATTGCTACTGTGGACACAGGTGCATAGGTATCTGTTTAAGACCATGTGCTCAATTCTTTAGGATATATACCTTGAAGTAGAATCGCTGGGTCATATGGCAATTCTATGTTTAATTTTCTGAGAAACTTTGATACTGTTTTCGACATCAGCTGTACCATTTTATGTCCCCACCAATACTGCACGTGGATTTGGCAAAGAGAAAGACGTCTTTGCCAACTCTTGTTATTATCCTAATGGGTGTGAGGTGGTGTCTCACTGTGTTTTTGTTTTGCATCTCCCTAATGACAGGGATGTTAGGTATCTATGTGCTCACACAGATGTTTGCATAGAAGCCCTTGGAGGGCAGGCAGAGTGTTCAGTGCAGTTCTGTATAGGATGTGCCATCCACGCATGTTCATTTACAATTATTTGTTTCATCCACCTGTAACTAAGTACCTGCTTTTCACCGATGATACAGGAATGAGAAGAAGACAGTCGCAAGGAGAAAGACACCAGTACAAGCACTTTCCACACACAGTTGGATTGGGGACACCCCAGGAAATGCTACTAAACCTTTTGCTGTTTCCAAGGAGGTGAGGGTGAGGCACTCACAAAGGACAGCTCAGAGCAGGGGATGCTTGAGTTGAGCCATGTGGGACAATTTGAAAGAGTGAGGTAAGGGAAAGAATGCAGGACATGTATAGCATATGCAAAGACCTGGAGTCATGAAGATGCATGAATAGTTTAGTATGGCTGGATCATAAAGATGCCAGGTGCTGAGAAAAGGGGCTGAGGAGCGTGGCAGGAGCAAATTCTGGGTTCTTGTTCACTGGGCTAGTGAGGCTGGGTTCCATCAGGTGCTCAGTGATGGTTCACTGAGGAGCTCTCAGCAGGGACATGGCATGGAAGACATGCTCCTTATTACTTGGACTGGCTGTACAGAAAGTGAAGTCCACTCTGCCCAGTTCATGGTCCTCTCTAGGGAGTAGTGGCCTCATGCTAGCCTCTGGCTACTCTAGAGGTTCCGATCTGCCCTAGACACCCAGGCATATACTTAGGCCTCCAAAATGATTGTCTTCCCCATTTTATCATATTGGTTCCCATTCCTCTCTCTTGGGCTACCGCATCTGATTAAGATGATGTCATAACTTACACTGAAGCTCACACAGAACGACTACAATGGAGGCATCCCAGGCAGGTCTGTGAGGGAGTTCTTTCAGTTCATCTAGGGTATGTTCCTGTTTCTGGTCCCTTCCATATTCTGCTGCCAAAGCAGAAGTTGCCATGTGTCTCTGATCGATGCAAGGAAACCCTTGGGCCCACCCTCCTCCGCTCAGTGTGCCTACAGTGTTGATTGATTTTAGCTGGCAGCATCTCTGTCCCTGAGGACTTGATCTGAAGAACATAATTAAGGGCTGTCAATCCATCTTCTCAAAGGCAGCCACTCTCATCTGATCTCACATGCTGGTGGGCACTCCCACTTTCTTGCGTATTCATCTCAAGACTCTTTCCTCTGGGAGGGGGCTCCAAGGAGCCTGTAGCCCAGGGGTGGGGGAACTGTCCGCTCTTGGGGGTGCTGAATGATTATTCAGGAGCTCCTACAGCCCTAGTCCCCTGGGAATTTATTCATCCTCACTTTGCTGTCCCCCTCCAATTTTGGTCTTCTGTTTTAATCATCTTTACATGCTTTCCATTCAGTTTTAACCAACCCAATTATAGGCATGTCTGTGTTAATTTATTTGTTTTTATGTGTAGTTTCTGCCTTGTTCCAGGCACTCTATTTATAGTCCTGGGCATATAGAGTTAAATAACAGACACAGTTTCTGCCTTTATGGAATAATTTGGTGGTTGAAGCAAATTGTGTCTTCTTCCATCGCTCTTCCCATGAACCCATGCCCTTGAAGCTTGGCATTGTATGAACATAGGCAGCACATAGCTCATAGTAGGTGCTCAACAGATGGAAGCCATTGGACCATTGTGTGAGTTCCTTG